GCCCGCCCGTCCGTCCGCTCGTTCGCTCGTCACCTTTTTCCGCGACCATTTTTATCAGCCACGACACCCTCTCTCGCCATCATCTTCAGCGACCAGCTTATCACAACCACGACCGTACCACCCGGAGTTTGAGAGCGTTCACAGAGACGCGCGTGTCCCCCTCCCCCGCTTCAAATTTAATACACTTTTCGCCTCGCTCTTCTCCACCCCCCCCTCCCCCCTCCGCCGACGCGACGTATTCTCGAATTTTTACGCCGCACCATCATTTTTATTTGGCACGTGTCGATACGTAACCGTTTTTATCGATTTATGGCCTTGCGTTTTATATCACGCGGCGCGATAAACATCCCAGCTTCTCTCCTCGATTAATCGACCCGTTTCACCGCCGCGTTCTCGCTTTCGTTCGCCGCGTTCCTCGAGGCTTCGCACGCGTGCGATTTTTGCCCCCGGTGTTTCTTCTCTCCCGCGTCGTTTTTCCGGCCATCTTCGAGAATCGCATGAAAATCGCGCGCTACCGCGGCTGCCTGCGCTTAAAGAGAGGAGACTTGAAGAGATACGCGTGTCGGATACGATAATCTGATCAAGCGGCGGCGGAATTGTCCTTGAAGGAACGCAAAGAGTTTAATTTCACGTTTTCTTTCTTTCTCACGATCGGAAAATCCGCGAAGCGAGCGAACCTTACTTGACGCTTGAAAATTCGATTTCTCCCGGCGAGCACGAAAGAGAAAGAGAGAGAGAGAGAGAGAGAGAGAGAGAGAGAGAGAGAGAGAGAGATATTTGGAAAATTTTACATTGTGTTATATCCTCGAACGTGCAAAAAAAAAGCGCGGAGGTCTCTCTCCCTCTCACACGCGTTCGCGCGATCTAACTCACGGGCTGTGGCGAGTGTGGAGTAATAACAGCGTATTGCACGTACTCGTAATATCGAGCATTCCGGTTAAAACCGCGGGGAGTGCAAAGTTTAACGGCGAAACTTTCTACGGCGAACACTATCTCGGGCAATTAAAAACGTCCGCTCGACAAAATTATTCTCCCGATAATTCACACTACGTAATTACGCTCCTCGAGGAGAACGTACGTGTGCATGGACATCTCAATTGGAGCCCCCCTCTCCTCTCCCCAAGGCTAATAAGAGCAAATTCAGTTTTTCCTTACATCTTCGCGTGTTTTCATCGTCACGATCATCGCTCCGTTTTTCGCGCAGCGCGTTGATGAACGAATTAACGCGCAAACACAAAGAAGAGGGGCAGAGAGGTGAAACGCGTACGCGCGATCCAAGCGGGGAATAATAGTCGTCCTGATTGCATAATTTATTTATGAAGCGCGAAAATAAAATTTCCTCGCGAAATTAATAGTGAAAACAAATAGTATTCGGTATATTTGCGATTTTTTTCCTTTTTGCCAAGAGGGGAGTCGGGTAGCTTTGATCTCCGCCGAGAGTCTCTCGAGAGAAAATCTTAAAACACTTCGGACAGAAGTGTGTGAAATAATGTTCGCAAACGTGAGGATTGTAAGACGATATTCCCATTAATATTGAGCCTCTTCGCGTTTGTTTGGCGATACTCAGCGTAACCAGGTAAATCTCGACCCCGACACACGCGTGTCTCTCGCTCGAATCGACGGCTGTTACTTCCTACTTGAATAACGCACGGTCACATCGTCGAACTTTCATTGCATGTCAATAGAACCTGCTCCGTAGCCACTTAACGATAATTTAAGCATTACTTATTGCGACACAATCGTCCCCTACGCCTCTCTCGTGCAAGTCTTACAGCCTGTTTACACTACGTCGATTACTCGCAATCTCGTTTACGATAACCGTCGCGATGTCGACGTGAAGTCTTTTAACGTACGCTACGTCACGCAACGGCAACGTAATGACGACCGACATGCATCGTTATTTATAGTGCAATGTTATATTTATAGAGACAGTGGAGAGAGAAAGAGAGAGAGAGAGGGGGGGAGGGGGGAGAAAGAATACGTCACAATTGCGGATGTACGGTGCAATGTTGCGGGCAACAATTTCCACACGAGTCGATATCTCGTGCGAGTGGTAGTGTAAAGACGCTGTAAGCCTCCGAGAATACAGATAGAAGCGAACCATAGCGTTTCCTTTGCGTTTCCTTTTCTTCTCTCGCAACAAGCAACGATGAGCAAATCGGCAAAGGCAAGTGTGGTTAAAATTGTTCTGAGCAGAAAACGACCGGACCCGCTCGATATATGCCCTCTCCGTATGCTTCCGGCGCTGCTCGTCGCCGTTTTTAATATGTCTTTGGCTCGTTAATTAACGTGCGATCGAGCTGCGACTTTCTCTGCCCGATGATCCGATCGCACAAGCATGTTTGTCTCGCCTCAGATCCACCCTCCCTCNCCACCCTCCCTCCCGCCCGCCCCGACTTTTTTTTACTTTGGACCCTGAGATTGAGCGTGTGTGTGTTCTTTGTTAGCTAGGTAATTAGCGTTTTTAAGAGCAACAGCAGCAGCATCAGCAACAGCATCGTGTGTTCCATTCTCGCTCTATCCACTCGGATTTTTATCTTGCTTGAAACGAGATTTACGTTTAGCGCGATCATCTGCCTGTGAATGTTTACGAGATGATCAGTTGTTCTCTTACCTAATATCTGTTAATTCGTACCTTTCACGCAACGCACGAGCGATGTGAATCTCTGAATGCCTCAACATTATATACTCACATCCGACGTCAGTAGTATAGATAATCGCATGCGCATCGACGCGCAGCTCTCACCTTACCGGGTAAAATCGTTTTACACGACGTTTACACACTTACGCCGCAACAGTTGCCGTTTAATTAATCACGCCGTAACAAGGATGATAAAACGTGCCTCG